TGAAAAAGAACAAGGAAAAAAAACAGGTGTTTCATCGATGTAAATTTTGGTTTGGCCAACCCAAGTAAGTGATATCACGTTTCCAAACGTAAACGGTAAACAACAATGGAATCATTAGGTACATTTACGGTTATCAAACACAAAAGACAGACGTTGAACATATTAAATCACACGTCCAAATGTAGCCATATATAACAGCAAAGCAGAAGATATTTTTCCGTAACCTGCATGCTACATTTTTATCAAGTCGAATAGTTTTATGATTCAGAATATACACATGGACTTGAACCTGTTCTAAATTAACCTGAAGTATGAAAATTACAAAATTGAATTTTGGGGCAGCTGCATTTACCCGTCTAGATTTTGACGTTTCTTTCAATGACATTGGATTTTCCTTAGTCGCTACATAGGCTTCAAAATGTATTCCGTTGGCAACACTGACGAGATCTAGAAAAACGAAACAGCCGTATGATACATTAAAAATTCATTGCTTGACTTAACTGAATCTACCTATTAATTTCTAAAATGAGCTATTCATTTCTGTGTCTTTTGTGCAATCCTGAACGGGTATAAAGTAAACTAAAACACAGGCTAATTGTCTCATTATGTCTCGGTATCGACAAGTGGGTCACCAGGAAATAATTAAACATCAATTAAAATATTAGAAAGATTATTCCATGACCGTCAATGTCAACATTAGGCACTGCCGGAGATGAAGAAAGGTGAATACCGAAAGCTAATTTTCTTTTTGCTTATAGAGACTTTTTAAAATTCGTTTAATAAAGACAGTCTCAATAGAAGTGGTCGACACATATTCCAGAGGTGTTTTCTGCGTTTTATTTGGAATCCGTTTTGATGTCCCATTGTCGACCTGTAGAAGATCTTTGACATACAGATCACATAATGGTTTCTTTGTTTTAATTCAAAGACATCTGTACGCATTTAAAGTCGGTCGGTTTTTTAAATCTGAAATTGGCGGATTAATCACGAGCTGTTTGCATGTTCCCAGACCATAATAGATAGGAAAACCGTCTGATCGTATCTTTTTACCTGATCCGGCGTCTGTTAGTGTCTCACTTATTCTGTACATAGGATATACTATATTTGTTTATATAGAGATATAACTCGATAGAGGTATTTCAATATACTCTTACGACACGTCGTTTACCGTTATCCCTTGTATTGTTACTGTGATATTGCGTGCTCAGCGTTAAGAAGACAGACGCTTTTTTAGCATTGCGTGTGATTTCTAACAAAGTCCGAAAGTGGCTCCAAATCCAATTATCACAGATAATCCATCTGAAGGAACGCTTCGTTTTCTTGTTATGAGAATTTGCTACTCCAGGAAAGGAAAACGGCGGTATAAATGTATGAAAGTAATCTATACTGAGACCCATTTCATAAAAAATACGTCTAATTCAAAGAAGACATATACGAAGGACGAAATCATAAAAATGATCGTGTTTCTGGTCGACAACATCTTTGTGGTAAGACCCTCCAACAGATTATTAGCATACGTATGGGAACAAACAGCGCCTCTCTCTTGACTGACTTGTTTTCACACGAGGCTGAATTTATTGAAGAGCTTATCAAAACGGGTCACATAAACCTTGCAAAGTCGTTTAATTACGCTTTTAGATGTATTGACGACGTCTTGTCTTTAAATAAAAAGAAATTTATTGACCACATCCATCGTATATACCAACCATTGGAAATCGAAAACACGACAAACTCTTTTCCTACAACGAAAGCTTTCCATCAAGCTGTATGATACACGTGACGATTTCAATTTTCCTATTGTGGAGTTCCCATTTCTAGATAGCAATATGCCTGTATCCCCAACCTATGATATTTACATATCACATACCACAGTTGATTCGATATTCAAAGGTCTGTTCCCATTATCATGATTTTCGTGCAACAAGTCATGACCTGATAGTCATACCCGTCGCACAGTTTCAAAAGATGCAGGTTGATGGAAATTATGGGGAAGTTTTATAATTGCCGTAGTGATCTCATTGAAAGTATTATATTTCTTTGTGTAAAATACAGCTGGACGTGTTGATCGTCGTTAATTTTGATGTTGATTCCGTTGTTATTATTTGTGAACGTGACATTACTTATTGAATCGACCAAGGTTTAAATGGCGGGTGTCGTCGATAAAGCAGAGGACGTTTACTCTCGGAAGCACCTGTTTTATTTTTCTTGTTTTTCTTCATGAGCAGTATTATGTTGAGAGCTTGGCATTTTCTTGATGTGTTTCACATCATTTCTATTTGAATATCAGAACTAGATAATTGATGAAGTTATTCCAATACCAATGCCATGATGTTTTAAGATAACGATGTCATTCTCAACACACTGAAACGATTCTGTTGAAGCGTTTATGATGACTATAATTTTCATTGAAATAGAATATAGACTGATTGGCTATTTGAAATTTCATAACTGTATCTAATTCTAAACTCATTGACTTTTGTTCAGTCTTCGAGATTATGGATAGTGGAAACTGCTTGTTGACCTTTAGTCCCCGATGTTTGCCGTTATCCAAATGCTTCGTTTTCTTTCATTAAAATAGTGACATGGTTCAGAACATACATTTGACGTACTTTGAAAAATTATTAGATATATGCAAATTTGAAAACAATTATGGAGTTAGTGCACTCGTCTAGATTTTGAGATTTCTTTCGATCAGTTTGATTTCCTCTGTCGCCACACGAGTCTCTCATCACCTGTTTGATGTGTGTCTATTAAAACTGTTTTAATAAGTTTTAGAAAATGTGGAAAGAACCTTTGTACTGAAATTGTAATTGGTTTAATTCTAGACCTAGTATCTGTATGGGTATTCCGACAATTAAATGAAAGTTGTCATGAAAAGAAAATGCTTCTGTGAAATGTAATGTAATATGAATCAACCAAAATAATAGATAATAATTAATAAGTAGTTAGGAAAATCTCTTTAGTAATTTTTATTAATTTATTTATTTTGTGTTAGGAATCAGCGTTAAAATAACATCCTGGTCCATCGAAAGCAAAGCCAACTGACCTCTAATCTTTTAAGCTGTTTTGTTATGCAGTGGACATTGCGTGCAGACTATTTCTAAATGACTAAACACCGTGTATGTATTACATAGAAAACAATAACTACATAATTCACATGACAAATCCAACGGTCAAAGCCACCACGCAAACTTTTAATGTTATCGTCTGATTGCGGAATTCTGCCTACATCTAACTGTTTGGTACAAACTCGGTCAAGCCATTCCTGCTTGTCATGGTATAAAAATTGACAACCATGCTTAAATTGTCCTATTAGAAATACCACCATACAGCTGGTAAATCAGACTAGAAATAACATACAATTAATTTTGCTTAACGTATTATCATATTTTGCAATAAATTTCAACAAGGGTCATATGAGATCGGGGTTCAAAATGTATCGACAGTCTCAGTTATAAGAGATAATGATAGTACAGTAATGCAATTACAGAACGGGCCGTTGTGGCGGCAAATGTCCTTGTTAATACTCTTTACAAAAATTATGTGTTCGCTGATGGTGAAAATGTTGTTATTGAAACGGTATAATCGTAATGCAATACATTTGTCCAACGATGAAGTAATAAAATGTTTTTAATTAAAGAGTTGGCTAATAATTAGACAACACATTATGAGAAACAAGGAATACATTTATCTACCATGGCAACGGTGATTAAGCAATTCTTGTACCTGATGAACTCGGCTCAAAGCAAAAGTCTGGAGGAGAGAGATTCAGTAATTGGCTATTTATAACCATTTTTATTTAAACGTACACATTATAACTTAAGTGATAAGCGCACAAAGCATTGGATCCTATGCACTTGTATATCAACACCACTTTTATGTCATCGTGTGCCCTTTATATAGCACAAATGTTTGAAAAACCGAAACGGGAGTTAACAGTATACAAAAAATGTTTTACGAGACAATATCTTACAAGTTACTTGATGAAATAATCAAATCAACCAAACAATAAGTAGTGGAGCAATTGGCTTGAACATATGATACACATGTGAGGAGGAAATCACTGTAATTGTTATTTTCGAGATGTAGTATAATTCTCTAAATTAATCGAGCGAAATACATTGAAATTAATATAAATTGAGACCATAATCAGTTTTCCTTTAAAACACGTAATTTAAGGAAGTTCATTAAACAGATCTTAAAAAACGTATTATTGAAAAATAGAGAGGGGAAATAAAACAAAAGTGCTCTTCATGATATTCATTGTCGATTTGCCTTCCTTTCTCAGTGGACACAACTACCGCTGCGACAGAGGCCTGCTGTGGAATGCAGTCAGAGAGTTCATTGTCCCAGACTTGTAAGAGTAAAGCGTTATTGTGTACTTTATCGCTTCTTGTTGATACAAAGCATGAAAAATCAATGTCTAGCGCTTGTCTATCTATCTTCAAAGAAAACACCTAAGGATAGTATTATATAATTACCATCTAAAACGATTTGTTTATCTTTATTGTGTGATGGTTGCCCTGGAACACATTGCTCACTGTATTGAATTTTTTTGTTTCACTATCCGGTTTCAATCTGCCAGATCCTGTATCAACTAACGTTGATATCTTAGATATACACAGACAACAAAGCAAACATATTAACCCAGCAACTGCTTGCAATTGCTAACCTTTCAAATATACGCAACGTCTATTGAACGTTTTTATTGTCCTTACCCGTGATAACATTCAGTCAGGTAATTTCGTTTTTGATGGCTGAAACAAATGTTTCGGCGCTTTGAGGATGATCTCAGACTGGCTTCCTTTTCAAACATCAAGCGTAAGGAAAACCTCTGCATCCGATAACAGATATTCCTTGATCAATTATTATATTTTCAAAGAGCACCAAAATGGTAAGACAAAACTAGTCATTAAGTTTACGCTTTAACTCAGATAAAACATTAATTGAATATAAAAAAGAAATGGTTTTTGGTGTAGCATTGATAACTGACTGGAGAGATGTTGATGTATGTAGAGGTGTTTGCTGCTATTATGGGCAGGGTGCGAGACCCAAATACTCTCAATGAACGCAGGTACAACATTTATGTCCTAAAGCATGTCAAAATTAAAACAAGGAAAAACTGTAGGTAGAAAATATAAACCTAGAAAAACTTAGATATTGCAACAAGGCACCATTTAATGAAAATTCATGAAAAAACACTAGAGTCAAAGTGGGCGGATGGTTGTTATTTTGTTCTCTTAAACATTTCTGCTGAATCAGAACACATAAAGGCAAAGCCACGAGTATAGGCAAGGGATCCATCGTTTGAACAGAAAGGAATTCCACTTTGCCGAGCAAGCATTGCTATATAATATAATGTATACATGCATATGAAAAGTGATTCAGAAACGTAAAAAACAATAACGTTTTAAGAGACAACCATCGAAATTTTACCCAGTATTTCGTTTGCAATGAATGTACCATTGTGTAAGAAATTGACGGAGAGCTGATGAAGTACATGCATACGTTTTCTGTAGATAAATACCCCAGATAATTACTATAAGAACGATAACAACGGAAATGCAGGAATAAAATGAATTTCTATGTAATTCGATTGAACAACTGTGTGCTCGTCAATTCTATTGTGTTCTTGAAATTACTAGAGACTTCTGCTGCAGCTGCAACCAACAAACAAACCTTAAATGCTAACTACCTCGATAACCTTCTATAAAAGAACAGATGCGATGGGTTGAAGCATTATTCCCATTTTATTCATAAATATAGTTTCTGCTTAAAGCTGATGAATGCCTTAAGTTCTCTGCAACTACATTAAAGACTCCACCGAAAATGATTGTCATTACAGTACGATACAAGCACTTAGCGGGAAGAACAAGGAGCAGATAATGCCTTTATTGTCGTTATCCTCCAGGAGTTTGATAAACGACAAAACTATTTATTATAAAGCTTCTTTTTATCAACACCCGATAACACAGATGTGTCATCTGATCATCAAACATGAGAACAAGTACTGATAATCGTCTTACAAAAATTAAAAAAACAGTAGCACAATACTCACAAAAAATACGTCCCTTTTCCATACATCATGCAGGTCAGTTTACGCATTTAAATCACTCTCACTTAGATACCGTCATAAATATGAATATTTGTATTACGTTATTGATAGATGGAATGCATTCATGCCACAATGAATAAAAATAGCCAATATGAACTCCCAGCAGTCTCTAGAGAAAAATAGATGCTCAGAACGGAATGAATTTTATATTACTTTCCTACTAAAAATCCGTATCTACATTATCATTCTGTTTCTAATAAAAGTAATTAGATATCAAAACTAGAGCATGTTGAGAACTGTTAGTATCACTTAATTTGATTAAATGTGCTTAACTGAACACAAATCTCTTTCTTTCATCACTTGTTTAGCCTTCTCGGGAAATCGTAAGTTGCCTGTAGTTTGATCCAACGGACTTGTACAACATTGTTAATAAACAATTGTTAAAAATTACTTTTCCGGACAATACATCATTACTTTTTATCTAAACGAGCATGCCATTGACGTAATACGTCTATATCCGACCAATGCTAGTATTAAGTCTCAGCAAAATGTAATGATATAGTTATGTGTGTGACAAAAAATTCGTATTTAGTTTTTTTCAGCTGAATAATCGATCAAATTTTCTTGTCAAATATTGTGACCGGTTACAAGATTAATGGCCATTAAATGACATCCATAAATCATTAGCATTAATGATCAAACATGAATAAAAGATGAAGAATGATATTGTAATACTATTATGAAATGGGACGATATCAAGACTGTGACGATGACGTAACGTTGAGAAATATAATTCATGATCTTTGTGCCAGCATAAGTAACAAAGCTTTTATCGTCCGATTCCATGCTTGGTTCTGCTGATGTTATCTCCCTTTTTGTAACTCTTTTATATTTATTATACTACTGTTTTATATCAAGATCAAGCTTTGATTTGGAAGCAAGTTACGACCCCTTTTATGATGTTACATAATGTTCTATTACAGTATTCAGTGATCCATATGAATGTAAAAATTGTATTATTCGATGGTAAGGCGCGTGCTGTTATAGAATATTTGAATATTGATATGTATCAATCCCCACTGCAGGAAACTCAATGATCTTTGGGAGATATGTTTAGAAAAGTCCATGATTGTTTAGATTCAATCGTCGATTTTATTTCAGCCTATAACTTACGTCATTGTGAGTAATATCTCATTATAATAAACATTACTGTGGTAATTAACTAATTTTCTTATCGAAAATATTAACAACGTATTGCAAAATAAAATAATAGTGTTAACGTTACCTACCTTGCATACATTGTACAATCCTCTCGCAACAATTGTATTAGTTGACAATAAACATTACTGTGTACATGCTTTGTGATATAACGACGTAAATATTGTTTATCTATTATGACAACAATGTCAAGCATTACTTGTTAAACTTTGTTTACTTTGCTGCGGCGTCGTCACACATAGGTTAAATGCATCAAAAGATAAAAGGTGTTCAGATAGCACGGTAACACAGCCGTCAGTTTTATAGGCGATCGGTGTTCGATTCTTTTATCGAACGTCAAAAGGCCCTGGGTCACCTTGGTGATCACGTGGTTTTCTGATGGTACTCTGCTTTCTTTCCACATTATGTTATCTTAATTTTTGATAGAACATTTCTAAGAATGACCGATATGAGTTAACATTTTTTGCCCACAATTGTTGAAAAAAATGAAAAAAATAAGGGAATAATGAAAAAAATTGCTTCGTTGAACATTGCATGCGTTGTGAACTTGTAATAACTTATTTTTTTTTTGCGTGGTTTATTATTCCGTGATTAGCCATTCCTTTTAAAGCGGTATCTCCTTATAAAACCTGGTGACTACTACAATGACAAACATACGGGAGTCCCATCGTATTTCATCAATACTAATTAGGGTTAAGATTCTTGAACACAGCTACTACAGCACAGATCGGTTGTTTCCTATCCGTTGTTGTGTTCAGTGATAGCATATAACGAACGGCTTGTATAAAATTTTCTCAAGGAACAGGAGGAAGTCATCGGCTAGGATGTCCTGAAATTCCTTGAGGAATTTTTATACAAGATATTTTCAAGGAGATATTAGCTGAGGAAAATCTCGACTTGAGGAAATCTCAAGCTGAGATGTTTTATGCAAGTGGGGCCAGGTTAATATATTTCTTATAACTTTAACACTTGCTCTTATGCTCCTTGTACTGTTTAGGAGTGTCCGTTTAAAACGTCTTTTGTTCATATTATGCCCTAGTTTTACTGCATTTAAGTTCGGGTTGTAATTATGTTAATATGTTGATATTTTCTGTTTTTATCAGTTAAAATACTGAAAAACCGGACTTAGTAATTTGAAACATCCGCAACATTAATTCAAACGCTATCTTTAACCACGCTATTTAATTTGAGAGATATCTTATTCATAAGATATATATATATATATAGGTCTGAATATGTTTAAGCTCACTCAATTAATGCAATATACAACAACATAACAGCCATGTTCTTAGTTATGGAAAGAAATATGATTTTTCGCAGCAAACTTACCTTTGTATTATCCATGCACTGCAGATTTCCGCCTTGGACAGGTCTCGATTATATCTTGCGTTGTCTGTCGGTCTGTTCGCTTATCAGATACTTCTCACAGCCAGTGTTCCATAACATTGAGACTTTTTTTGACGTAATGTTTTCGTTTTTATTATGAATGATATATGAAAAACTGAACACAACATATGAATTAACTTCATAAATATACCACTGGAGCTGACGCATGTAAGTCCTATCTAAATCCAAAGAAAGCACTCGTGATATTTCCAGAAGGGAACAAAAAAACAATACAATACAATGACCGATATTCGGGATTGTTTAACAATATTGCTATTAAAGATTTCCCTATACACGGCCACACGTACTTGAAGTATGTGAATAATTCAACTCACAGTTGTGTATATCGCTGCCAAGGCGAGTATCGCCAACCGATAGCTTGTTAATTGATATCACAACAAGAGTCAAGTAATGCCTGTGGCACAGCATTTATAAAGCTATTACACGTCAAGGCTATGGAGTTATTTAAATGATAACATGTCCAATTGGCCCTCTATGAGAGATCTGAGCCGGAGTCGGTAAATCGTTAGCGAGCGATGGAGCAGAAAATTTCGTTATCAATGCTTATACATACCGCATATATTTCTACCTCGTTACAAGATGTACTATGTTAAACAGTGAGTGCATTATAGGGATTTCGGTCACATGGGTGACGGAAGGGCAGCGACGATAGGTGGGTCAAGAAAAACTGAAAATAAAGTCACTTACTTAATATTCGACGGGCCCTAGTCTCTAGAACATAAACAAAATTGAACTTTATCATTTTGTTTTCTTGTTTTTATGTCAGCGTATGGACATTTTCTGATCACAACCTAAACACCACATCCTCATTTTAGAAAATTCGGATAGTGAATAATATAAAGAATGACACATGTAAATATGAACGATGTTTATCTATATAGTACGAAGGAGACATATACAAAATTGACGTCTGAATGTGCATATGTTTATATGGCGTAGTGCGCATGTAGGAATAAATACTGATTATTAAAATTTTAAATTAAAGCGTATGCAATTAAAGGATGCTGAAAGCCACGAGGTTTCCAAAGGGACAAATAAAGAAAGATGTACCGTCCATATAATAAAAATTTCAAAATGTCAACATAATCATAATCCAAACTCAAATTAGGGCAAAATGTGAACAAAAGAAAAAAATAATCGGAAACTCCCGAAAAAGTCCAAGGAGAATAAGATCAGGTGTTCCGGTATTGTAAGCGTCTTCTGCTTCATCGACGACGCCTGCCATATAAACCTTGGTTCATTCAAGAACTTCAAACTGAGACTCGATTTAACAACGCAAAATTAAGAAAAAATTAAAAAGAGGAATCCCTACAAAATGAAAAAGGGACAGAACTGTGTAAACATAACTAATTTCGTATAAAAATACGTGTAATGATTTCCAAGGTCACAAACAT